TCCTTACTTCCTTTCCTGAGCCATTTGTCCTCTATGGGAATAAAGAAATGGGGTATGAGTCCAGAGCCAAACTCTAGTCTTAGACATGCCTCAGTTTGGCCCTCCTGATGAAGATCCCCATACTGGCCCTGGACCTTTCAAGTTCTGTTGCATGATAATAATAACAGGGATGATGAGAATTGGCCATTTACACAGTATACCATAAGGGCTTATACCCATTTTCCAGGTGAAGCAACCGAGGCCCAGAGAGTAGCTTGCCCAAGAGCCAGGCAGTAAATTGGTATGAGAGCCAAGACAAAGATGTGCACTTACTCTTGGTTTAGAAGATGGGAGTGATTGTATACATTTACACTACATGGAGCTAGATGAGAATGGAATGGTAAGCAGCATAGTAGCTGTGGTCTCTTAGCAAATAATGCCACTCTTGTAGTGTATTCGTGCAGAAGAACACCGGTATCATAATTAGTGTTGTTATTCTTCAAATTATAATAAATAATAAATAGTTTTAGGGATTGGGGATATGACTCAGTAGCAGAGTGTTTGATGAACCAGAAGCACTGAGCTCCTGTCATTGTCATAATCAAATATTAGTGGTTTAAAATTAGCATTAATGACAGTATTTTTATTTGTTTTATTTGTTTTTTTTTTTGTTTTTGCTTTTGGGTCCAGTCGTGGGGCCTGAACTCTGGGCCTGGGCGCTGTCCCTCAGCTCTTCAGCTCAAGGCGAGCGCTCTACCACTTGAGCTACAGCACTACTTCCGGTTTTCTGGTGATTTATTGGAGATAGGAGTCTTACGGTCTCTCCTGCCCGGGCTGGCTTTGAACCGCGATCCTCAGATCTCAGCCTCCTGAGTAGCTAGGATTACAGGTGTGAGCCACCAGCGCCCGGCTTAAAATTATTTTTATTGTTATTATAAAGGCAATGTACAGAAGGATATAGTTACATAAGTCAGGTAATGAGTACATATCTTTTTTTTTTTTTTTGTCATTCGTGAGGCTTGAACTCAGTTCCTGGGCGCTGTCCCTGAACTCTTTTGCTCAAGTCTAGTGCTCTACCATTTGAGCCACAGCTCCACTTCTGGTTTTCAGGTGGTTAACTGGAGAAAAGAATCTCATAGGCTTTCCTGCCTTGGCTGGGTTTGAACTGCTATCCTTAGATCTCAGCCTCCTGAGAAGCTAGGATTATAGGTGTGAGCCACCAAAGCCCAGTATGAGTATGTTTCTTTTTGGACAATGTCATCTCTTCCCTCACAATGACAATATTAATGTTAGATTAGAATTAGTATCAGTGTTAGACTAATATAACTATTAAAATGTGGATTAGTACTAGTATACATTTAGCATTTAGTGTCAATTTGGTTTTACTAGTGGCATCAACACAAAACCTCAGAACTAGAATTAGAAGCAGTACTAAGTCAGAGGCTGGTGGTTCACACCTGAAATTCTAGCTATTCAGAGGTTGAGATCTGAGGATTGAAGTTCAAAGCCAGCTGGGGCAGAAAAGCCCATAAAACATATATCTCTCCAAGTAACCAGTAAAAAGCAGAAATGGAGTGGTAGCCCAAATGGTAAAGCACCTTGAGCAAAAAGTTAAGAGAGGGCTGGGAAGGTGGCTCAGTGGTAGAGCGCTTGCCTTACATGCCTGAGGCCCTGGGTTCGATTCCTCAGCATCACATAAGCAAAAAGAAAAAAGCCGGAAGTGGCACTGTGGCTCAAGTGGTAGAGCGCTAGCCTTGAGCTGAAGAGCTGAGGGACAGCGCCCAGGCCCAGAGTTCAGGCCCCACAACCGGACCCCACCCAAAAAAAAAAAAAAAAGTTAAGAGAGAGCATAGACCCTGAATTTAAGCCCCAGTACCAGCACACAAAAAAGCAGTGCTAGTTAAGGCCAGGACTCTCCCTTTTATACTGTAAGGTCTTCCTAAAGAGGGGGATGTGGACTGTTTCCAATTGTGCCAGTTACCTAGGTGACACAGGTACTGGGCAGAGACATGCAGGAGGTGGGGAGTCAGGGCCTGTATTGCATGGGGCGGACCTTACATATACAATAGGTACTCAGTAAATAAATCAGAAGATCAAACACTGAAATTTAAGACTCAAGTGAATACTCAATAAAAATTACAATAGTCAAGGTTTGTTTTTGTTTGGTTGGTTTTTTTTGTGTGTGCCAGTCCTGAGCTTTTTTGCTCAAGGCTAGTGCTCTACCACTTGAACTATAGCTCTGCATCTGTTATTTTGGTAGGTTTTTTTGGTCAGTGGTGGGGCTTGAACTCTGGGCCTGGCCGCTGTCCCTCAGCTCTTCAGCTCAAGGCCAGTGCTCTACCGCTTGAGCCACAGTGCCACTTCCAGTTTTCTAGTGATTTATTAGAGATAAGAGTCTCACAGACTTTCCTACCAGTGCTGGCTTTGAACCGTGATCCTCAGATCTCAGTCTCCTGAGTAGCTAGGATTACATGCATGATCCACCAGCGCCTGGCTTTTTGGTAGTTTTTTATTGGATAAGAGTCTCACAGACTTTCCTGCCTGGGCTGGCTTCAAACCAGGATCCAACAGATCTCAGCCTCCTAAGTTGCTGAGATTAGAGACATGAGCCACCTGCTCTTGGCTAGAATAGCTGAGGTTTTTTGTTTTTTTTTTTTCTGGTTGGTTGTGGGGCTTGAGCTCTGGGCCTGGGCACTGTCCCTCAGCTCTTCAGTTCAAGGCTAGCACTCTACCACTTGAGCCACTGTACCACTTCCGGCTTTTTCTGTGGTGCTGAGGAATCAAACCCAGGGCATCATGCATGCAAGACAAGCACTCTACCACCTTCCCAGCCCCTGATTTATTTTTTTTTTTTGAGGTCTCAGATTCAAGCCAACTAAAACCACTTCATAGTGATTAAAACTCATTCAGTCTCCAGTCAGCCTGGAGAGAATGGTGATTAGAAACTCCACCAAAGTTGAGGCAGGGGAGTCTATGAGGTCTATGAAGGAGGGCAGGCTGACTGACATGCATGTGGCAGTATCCTGCCTTTCTTTTTTTGCTGGTCCTGGACCTTGAACTCAGGGCCTGGGCCTTGAACTCAGGGCCTGGGTTCTGTCCCTGAGCCTCTCTATGCTCAAGGTTAGAGCTCTACCACTTGAACCACAGCAGCACTTCCTGTTTTTTCTGTTTATGTGGTACTGAGGAATCGAACCCAGGACTTCATGCATTCTAGCAAGCACTCTAACACTAAGCCACATTCCCAGCCGCAGTACCCTGCCTTCTTATTGAAGAGGGCTCAACATCCAGAGGAACACTCAGCTGGAGGTGGGCAAATAGGAAGCCAACCTCAGCCTAGCTTTTTCCTCAAATTTCCTATTTTGCCTACTAGGACAAGGAAATGTAGAGAGGTAAGATGAGAATGGTCTTCTTCTTCTAGGATGGACTAATAAGCAAGCGGATCCCACTGACATGGGGCTCCATCCTTGCCCTCTGCAGGTTTCCAGTCTCCCTAACTGTAGAATGGGTGAGGAGAGTTTCTGGTCCCATGGAATTCCAGGATCATGACAAGGAGTCTTATGCTCTTGCTTTATGGGGACTCAAGTTCGACACCTACTGTGTGCATGTGTCAGATGCTTTTATACAGTGAAAGGCTCAGTGTGAAGCACTATGACAGTGTGAGGCACTGTGGTAGCTGAATATTTGGCGAAATATTCAGAGGAGGTCAGGCAATGCAGAAAGGTTGGGACTTGATTGTAAGGGCCCAGTGACTCTCTGAAGGGGGATGGTGAATCCCTCAAAGCAGACTGGGAGCAGAGCCACATAAATCACATCAGTCAATATTCCCAGCTCACCTACCCAAGGACCACCTGCCACCTGTAGAGGACTTTCTCCAGACTGCCATCTTAGGCTCTCAGACTCAGATTTGCCTATGAATATCTGTCTCAGTGGCCCTCTCTTCAACATCCTCTGTCACATTTTTTGGTTCTGGTTTCTTCACCTGTGTCCTGGGCCTCTATTATTTTCAGGTTTTCTTTTACCTTTTGTCCATTTGTCTCACATTCTGTCTTGGGCTCTCTCCAGGCCTCTCTTTCTGTACCATCTCTCAGCCTTCACTTACCTCTCTTTTTCCTCTGCGTATCATCTGCACTCTGCCCCATTTACATTTCTGTTTTTCTCTGTTCCTGTCTCTGCCTCTCTCATCATCTCTTCCATACCCTATTCCATTCCTCAAGAACTCATAGGACAACTCACCCTGGGTATCACCTCAGTTTCCCGCCTCCAGTGCAGTATGGCGGGCAAGTTGAGGCCACTGTCCCTGAGTACCCGCCCACCCTGCTCCCTAACCCCAAGTCAGCCTGTTACTACAGGCGCCAACAGCCACAGTGGCCTCCATCTGATAAGAGTTATCTGCTGCCCCAGGGCAGGCCAGAGCTGGCGTAAGCCCCAGGCATAAGCCCCAGTCACTAAGGGACAGTGTCCTGGCCTCCTGCTGGCCCTGGCCCTGGCCTAGACCAGGAGCCTGACTCCCCCAAGGTGGTCCACAAGCTCTGACTCAAATTCTATGAAACCTCTCTGAATCTCATTCTTGTCACTTGGAATATGGGTATAACCACATCTCTGCCCTCCCTGTGGTCAGAAAGGAACATATATGTATATATGTGTGTGTGTGTGTGTATATATATATATATACACATATATATATATATGGATCCAGTTCACACATAGCCTAGCACACAATAGGAGCTTTTCTTGCTGAAAAGCTCTGAGGAGTCAAGAACCCATATCTGCTAGTTTCATTTATCTTGATTGCAGCCATGTCACTTAGCTGGACACTGAACTCCTTGGAAGTCCAAGGCAAGCTGGGTCCAACAATCCATAGGGTGGACAGGTAGGGTTAGGGCCCCCAAGTGCCCAAGAGGTCCCCCCACAAGAAGGGGCACGCCCCCCTCCCCTACACTGCCCCACCCACTGTGGCACCAGCCACTCCCTGGGGAGGAGGGAGGAGGGAGAAGAGAGAGAGGGAGGGTGAGAGGGAGGAAGGGAGCCTCAAAGGCCAAGGCCAGCCAGGACACCCCTTGGGATCACACTGAGCTCACCACATCCCCAAGGTGGCTGAACCCTCCGCACCAACCAGCCCAGGTCAGTCTCAATTCCCCTGAAAAGCCCCAGCAAGGAAACCCTAGCTTGCTGTCCCTAGCCTTTTGGCTAGCTCTCCAGACTGTCCAAGCTGCCCTACCCACTTCTCTCCCTAAAGTACCGGCCGCCCCTGAATCCTTCCACAGTTTCTCACATCCACTGCTGTCTTTCCAATCTCATCTTTACCTCTCACCTTATCCTTCTCCGCCCCAACTCCTACCCACTCCTCCCTAGATAGCTACGTGACCCTAAGCCTTTAACTTAGTTTGCCCCCAGCTCTGCCTTCCCTAGAGATCAACTCTACCTCCAATATGCCTCAAAACTACTACCTCTACCTCAAATTTGATTTCTGCTCACTCAAACTTGTCTCTCTCCCTGAGTTCTCTAGAAAACCCTCACATTTGCTCCTCCAAAGAGATTTCTGTTCCCAAACACCTTGTCCACTACACAATCCCCTTATCTGGGTTTCAAATTCTTTCTGTCTCTCTAAAACCATCTCTGCCAAACCTAGCTTTATTCTCTTACTCCTTTCTGCCTCACCAGCCCATATCTGTTCCCTGTCTTCCTTGCTCTCATCTCCACAATCCATTTCTCCCAGTCTCTCAGAATGTTGGTTACTCTGAATACTAACTCTATTCTCCCGAATGAACCTTCACGTCTGCCTCTCCTAAACCCTATCCTAGATCTAAAACCTGTCTGCCTCCTAAATCACTCTAATTCTGCCTTTTTCTGCTCCAGTTCTATTTTGACTTTTCCACCTTCTTTTGTGCCTACCATTTGTAACCATCAGCTACAATATTGTCTGCTCAAGGTGATCTCTGCTTCCTAAACTTTATGTTTTTTCTATGAACCTCTCCCCCACAAAAATACATCTCTAACCCTAAACCACATTCCTAACTTTCCAGCTTTATCTGGCTCTCAAACTTCATCGGATTCCCCAATCTCATCTGTTTTCTCAATCTATCTCTGAACCCAACATGTGTCTACAATTCCCAAGCTTGGTTCTGCTTCTCAAATCCCATATTTGCTTCCCCCAAACTCCACAGTTATACCCCAACCTTTCTCTCACTCAATGCCCCATCTGCCCCTCAGATTCTACTTCTAACCACCCCCAAGCCCCATATCTGCCCCCTCTGGCCCCATGAGACCCTCAGCAGAGGGTTGGGATAGGGACATGAGTTACCTGGGGCGAGGGGCTGGGCCGAGGGAGAGTAGAAGAGAAACTGGAGGGTGCAGCTGCTGCCAGTGCCTCTGGTTGGGGCAGTTGCTTTTTCTAGTGGGGTAGCTGATAAGGAGCTTTCATATCCCCCAGCCTCGAGATAAACTTATCTCTGTTCAGAGAGTGATAACTGAAGTGGGGGTGGGGGCTACCACAGGAGGGGTGGGCAGCCCTGGGCTCATCACAAGTGTGAGGGTCTAGAGGGAGAGTGTGGGGGGGTAAGGATGAAGGGATGAGGAAATACATGGTGACAACAAAAGAGCAAGAATGCAGAGTACAGAGGAGAGCAAAGGGAAGAAGAAACAAAACAGGGGAAGACACACAAAGAGTGAGACAAAAGACATGAACAAATATAAAGGAGAAACAAAGATAGAAGCCCAAAGGAAAAGTAGACAGAGACAGTGTAACAGTAGGAGAGAGGAAGAGAGCCAGGAGCAGAAAATGAGAGATAGAGACAGAGACAGAGACAGAGACAGAGAGACAGAGAGAGAGAGGACAGACAGACAACTGATGGACAGATAGACAGACAAAAAGAATCGTGGAGACAGAGACAAAGAATCAGAGATAGAGATGGTGGAGGCCAGAAATGGAAGCATGGAGAGACAGGGGAACTATGGAACCAGGAATGTAGTGGTGGTGGGGATGTGATGGGCACATCCAAGGATTGTCTCTTTCTCCCAGGACAGTCTCCAACTCTGGGTGCAGCCCTTGGCCTAGCTACACAATGACAGGATAAGGGGATGGTCTGAAGGTCGGCTTCTATTCCATCTGTCACCTCACTATACAGAGAGGGCACTGAACAGGCAAGTCCACAAGCAGGGTTCTCGACTCCTTGGGGTTTTTGTGACAAAGTGTGCTGCAAGATATGGAAGAGTAACAGAGATCCAACAGCTCCAAGAGAGAAGTAGGTGAAAGAGGTAAGGGGAGATAGAGCAACAATGTTGAAGAGACACAGAGACATGCAGAGGGAGGAGTGAAGGAGGGAGAGAGCAATAGTAATACAAGTGCTGAGAGAGACTCAACAGAAAGAGACAGAAATAAAGCTGGACAGAGATAAACATGAAAGGACAAATGACGGAGGGAAAATATGTATTCATAGAAGCAGCGTGGGAAGGGGGTTGGGGGGCAGGCTATCACAAAAACATGGGAAGATGGGGGAGAAACGCTTAAGGAAGACTTGAAGGGAAACAAGAGAAATGATACCCAGGAATACAAACAAGACAGACAGCAGCAACTGGCCATGTCCCAGGTCTGAGTTAAGCCTGTCATCACCTCCAATAGAGCAAGTATGGAAACTGATGCCTGGGAATGGTGGTGGGACCTGAAGATGCTTGAAACTGAGGCACCCCTCCCCAGGAGACAGGGTATGAGAGGGAGTACCCCCACCTGTCACCCTCCTTAGAGGAAGCCAGTAGCCTTGGGGTGATTTCAAAAGTTGGGCGGGGATGGCAGAGATAAGCAGTGAGGGGTACTGACCCCCCCATGGGACAGGGAGGAACTAAGGGGGCCCTTAACGGAGATGGGGGTGGAGGAGTGAAGCCGGAAACCATGGGGTTTCTGAGAAAGTCTGAAGGCAAGATGCAACAGATAGGGATGAATTTGGGGAACACAGGAGGGTGAACCCCAAGTTCCTGGGGGGATTACCAAAGAGTTCAAAGGGATGGTTATAGTTCCAATCCCACCTCATCTAGATTCTTACAGAGGAGTAGGGGAGGAAGGATGGGTAACAGAGAGAGAGACTAAGAGGAAATGGGGGAAGAAAGGAGGAACAGGAGAAAATGAGGGAGAAAATGGTAAAGGAGGAAGATAGAAGGAAGAAAAAGGAGGCTGGGAAGGTGGCTCAGTGGTAGAGCACTTGCCTTGCATGTCTGAGGCCCTGGGTTTGATTCCTCAGCACCACATAAGCAAAAAGAAAAAAGCCGGAAGTGGCGCTGTGGCTCAAGTGGTAGAGTGCTAGCCTTGAACTGAAGAGCTGAGGGACAGCGCCCAGACCCAGAGTTCAGGCCTCATGACCGGACCCAAAAAAAAAAAAATGAAGAAAAAGGAGGGGAGGAAAGAAAGGGAAGAGGCAGGAGGTGAAAGTAACAGGATAAAAGGAGTGGAGGGGAGCCGAACAAGGGGAAGAGAGATAAAGCACTTGAAAAAGGGAAACAGAAGGGAAGTTGAAATGAGGAGGAAACAAAGATGGAATAGAGAAAGGATAAGAGGAGGAGAATGAGGATGGAATGGAAAGAAAAGGAGGGAGGGAAATGAGAGGAGTCTGGGGAAAGAGAGGAGGAAAGATAGGAGAAAGGGATATAAGAGAAATGGGGAGGGGAGAAAGAAGAGAAAAAAGTGAAAAGGAGAATGGAAAGCAGATGACAATAAATGGAAAAAAAGAAATACTAGTGAGGCAAGAAGGAAAGGGGAGGATGAAAGGAGGGGAGACAGGAAGTGAGAGGAGAAAGAAATGTGAGAAGGAAGGAGAGAGCTGGGCACTGGTGGCTCATGGCTATAATCCTGGCTACTTAGGAGGCTGAGGAGGCTGAGATCTGAGAATCATGGTTTGAAGCCAGCCTGGTCAAGAAAGTTCATGAGATTCTTATTTCTAATTAACCATCAGAAAACCAGAAGTGGCGCTGTGGCTCAAAATGGTAGAGCACTAGCCTTGAGTGAAAAAGCTCAGGGACAGCGCCCAGGCCCTGAGGTCAAGCCCCATGACCGACAAAAAAAAAAAAAAAACTAGAAAAACAAAAGAAAAAAACCCGGGAAGATAGGAAGAGGAGGGCATTTGGCAAATGGGAAGGAAGAATATGGAGACAAGGAGATAGGCTGGGAGGAGGAGTATTAGGAAGGAAGAGGGGCAGGCAGAAAGAGAGGAGGGGAGGAGAACTGTGTCTGAGAGCCCTTTCTGCCTTCACAGGTTAAACATCTGTGCTCCTCATGGAGTTCCCTGGCCTAGGGGCCCTGGGGACCTCAGAAACCCTGCCCCAGTTTGTGGATCATGCTCTGGTATCCTCAACACCAGAGTCAGGAGGCTTTTTCCCCTCTGGGCCTGAGGGCTTGGATTCAGCAGCTTCTTCTGCTCCGAGCACAGCCACGGCTGCAGCCACTGCACTGGCCTACTACAGGGACACTGAGGCCTACAGACACTCCCCAGGTAACTCTGTTGGGTGGCTGTCTTGGCATGGTCTGGGTGTGGTGGGATGGCCGCGGAGATCCTTAGCTAGGTTAGAATCCCACTAAGAGGTCATCTTGGGGATGCCTGGACTCTGAGGATGAATGTGCTGACCCCTCTCCTACTTAAGTCTAGACCTTGGAATGCTAATATTCCTCCGTCCACCATGTTGCGGCAAGTATCTCGAAAAGTGTGGTCGGAAGTATGTGGTAGTTGCTGCCCAGTTATCTGGGCTACAAATTCCCAAACATCCTCAAAGCCCATTGGAAATGGTTAGCAGAAAGGCTGGAGGTATGGCTCAAGTAGTTTAGCCCTTGTGCCCAGAAAGCACAAGGTCCTGAGTTCAAATCCCATTAATGCAGAAACAAATAGGAAATGGTTAGAAGGTATTGTGACAAGTGGGCTCAGGACCTAAAGGTCAATGTCAGCAGCTGTTCTGGTAACTTTGTGGAAAGTTTAGAAACCTAACTGCCATGTTGGGCTAATGCACACCATTGGGCCCTAAAGGTGGGATGGCATAAGATTGACCTCCCCACTCTTTCCTCTTTCCTCCCTACCCCCAACAGTTTTTCAGGTGTACCCATTGCTCAACTGTATGGAAGGGATCCCTGGAGGCTCACCCTATGCTAGCTGGGCCTATGGAAAGACAGGGCTCTACCCTGCCTCAACTGTGTGCCCCAGCCGCGAGGACCCCCCTCCCCAGGCCTTGGATGATCCAGATGGGAAGAGCAGCACCACCTTCCTGGAGACCTTGAAGACAGAGAGGCTGAGTCCAGACCTTTTGACCCTGGGGACTGCACTACCTTCATCAATCCCTGTCTCCAGCAGTGCTTATGGGAGCCCTGAATTTTCTAGTCCCTTCTTTCCTCCCACTGGAAGCCCCCTGAATTCAGTGGCCTATTCCTCTCCCAAGTTTCATGGAAGCCTGCCCCTGCCCTCTTGTGGTAAGAGTGTCAAGAAAAGACTGGGAGGTTGAGTTGAGGTGGGTGGCACAAAGCAAAGTTAAACTGAGCCTGGCTCTCTATTCTCTGTTCACCCTACCAGAGGCCAGGGAATGTGTCAACTGTGGAGCAACAGCCACTCCACTGTGGCGGAGGGACAGGACAGGCCACTACCTGTGCAATGCCTGTGGCCTCTATCACAAGATGAATGGGCAGAACAGGCCCCTTATCCGGCCCAAGAAACGTCTGGTAAGATTAAAGGTCTGGGGCTGGGAATGTGGCTTAGTGGTAGAGTGCTTGCCTAGCATGCATGAAGCCCTGGGTTCAATTCCTCAGCATCACATAAACAGAAAAAGCCAGAAGTGGTGCTGTGAACAAAACAACTCAGGGATAGTGCCCAGGCCCTGAGTTCAAGCCCCAGGACTGGTTAAAAAAAAAGACTGTAGGTCTGCCTCAACTGTACAGGAGCCCTGATGCTGTAGGGGCCAGAACCACACTCTCCTATCACACAGGATGTCTGTCTAACTACTGCCTATCACTCTGCATAGGATGGTAGCACCCTATTGCACAGAAATCCTTGTCTTCATCCTCATCCCATGTGGGTCCTCATCCTCTCCACTCTATCCCCATGCAAGAATCCCACTGTGTCCTGGAACTCACATCCTTTAGCTAACCCTCAGAGGTCTGAAAAAGGAATTCAGTCTACACACTGTACAGAAACTGCCCCTTGCCCTGCACAGTAGGATTTTCATCCTTGGCTTCCCACTGCAATCACTCTAAGTCCTTTCCTCAAAGGTGCTGAGTTAAGCTGGGGCTGGTAACTCACACCATTAATTCTAGCTACTCAGGAGGCTGAGATCTGAATATCACAGTTTAAAGCCAACCCTGGGCAGGAAAAGCCTATCAGACTCTTACCTCTATTTAACCACAAAATGCTAGAAGTGGAATGGCTCAAGCCTTGAACAAAAGAGCTCAGGGACAGTGCTCAGGCCCAGAGCCCAAGCCCCAGTACCAGTATGTGCCAGTATATGTGCGTGTGCGCGCACACACACACACACACACACACACAGTACTGATAAAGTTGAGTTGCAATGATTGCAATGTTGAGCATTGCAATTGTGGGCATCAGGATTTTGTTTTGTGGCACTGGAGATGGAGCTCAGGTTTTCGTGCAGCTTATGAATGCTAGACAAGAGCTCTACCATTGAACAACATACCAGATTCAGGATGTTCTTTAATTCTTTAAGTAATTCTGATATGTGGCCAGAGTTGAGAGGTACTGGTGGAGTCTCTTATAGAATACAGCAAAAAGAAAGTGTCCTGGACAGGAAACCTTGCCTTTACCTGATCCTCAGCCCTTCCCCTTGAGTCCTGATCCCTACACTCACCTCCACTGGACACTGTGCTCATATCATTTTGTTCCTCAGATTGTTAGCAAACGGGCAGGTACTCAGTGCACCAACTGCCAGACAACCACAACAACATTGTGGCGGAGAAATGCCAGTGGAGACCCTGTGTGCAATGCCTGTGGCCTCTACTATAAGCTACATCAGGTAATGCCCTGTCCCTTGGAGCCTGTCCTCCTTCTGCTTTCCTATCCTCACACCATCGTGTCCTTGCACCAGGCTTGCTTTCTTCATTTATCCTATTGTATCCTGAATCTTTTTTTTTTTCTTCTGCCTTCCTCTCACCTTTCCTTCCTGGCCCTTCCCTTCCCTTTCTCCTTCCCCCTCCTTCCTCTCCTCTCTTTTCTCTCTTCAGTTAACTTCCTCCTTCCTTCTCCATTCTTTCTTCCATTCTTCTTCCCTCTTTCCATCCCCTTCACTCCCATGCCCTCGGTCTTGGGTACCTTTTGTCAATCCAGGACCCTAATCTCAGGGTTTCACACCACTAAATTGCTTAAGACAGGTCTTTGTGAGGGCCCTGGGCTGTGCTCCTCCATTCTTGAGCCAATTCCCTATTCCTAAAGAAGGGAGGTGGAGGGGGAAGGGTGGTGTTAGGGGAGAGAAGGGAAAGTAGGGGAAAAACAAAGGAGGGGGTTACATGCTCGATAGGAAATGTACTCATTTCTTTACTCACGTAACTGTAACCCCTCTGTACAGTATCTTTACAATAAAAATATTCAAAAAAAAGAAGGGAGGTAGAGAATGTGTACCTGACCAGACAAACAGACAGAGCTGGAGCTGGGCATCCCTGTGGCTTCCTTTTCTGCAGGTGAATCGGCCACTGACCATGCGGAAGGATGGTATTCAGACTCGGAACCGCAAGGCATCTGGAAAAGGGAAAAAGAAGAGGGGATCAAGTCTGGGAGGAGCAGGAGCAGCTGAGGGACCAGCTGGGGGCTTCATGGTGGTAGCGGGCAGCAGCAGCAATGGAAATTGTGGGGATGTAGCCTCTGGTTTGACACTGGGCACCCCAGGTACTACCCACCTCTACCAAGGTCTAGGCCCTGTGGTGTTGTCTGGGCCTGTTAGCCATCTCATGCCTTTCCCTGGACCCCTGCTGGGCTCACCCACAGGCCCCTTTTCCACAGGCCCTGTGCCTCCCACCACCAGCACCACGGTGGTGGCTCCACTCAGCTCTTGAGAGCATGTGGCATGACCTTTGGTCAGGGTTGTAACTCCTCTGCATTTTCTTGAGACAAGGTCTTGCTGTGTAATCAACTGGCCTTGAACTCAGATTCTCCTGCATCCTCTTCCTGAGTGCTGGGATTATAGGGGTGCTCCACCATGCCTGCCTGGGTGTTTTCTTTCTTTCTTTCTTCCTTCCTTTTTTTCTTTTAAAGCAGGGAGGTTTCAGTCAAGCTCTTCTTGTGTAGTCCAGGCTGGTCTAGAACTCTAGATCCCCCTCCCTCAATTCTCAAAAGTTGGAATTGTAAACTGTTTTCTCCTCTTCTAGCCAGCAAAAGTCTTTACAGCCCAACCCCTAGATCCCAGACACCCCCTTGCCTGTACTTTCAAAGCTTTTGTAAAATAAAAACATCAAAGATCTGAAGTTGAAGATGTGAGTCTATGTTTGGCTGCATAAATGGCAGTGTCCAGTGGGAGATGTAGCAGTGTCTGTGACTCTCTGAGGAGAGTATCCAGCTGCAACGTTATAACTGGGTGAGTCTGGGTGAGGTAATATATGCGATATATCTTGACTTAAAGTTATGATGTGCAAGGTAACAGTACATGTGAGGTTCTGTGGAGACCATCCAAGAGGTTCTGATGTTCTGAGGAGATGGCATATGACTGGCAACTGAGGGTGAGGCACTGTATGATGCCATGTATGAAGGGATGACAGTAGGTACAAGTATTGCACAGTCGTGAATGATAAGGAAGTGTGTGGGGTTGTAGTCATGTGGTTGTGCATGACTCAGGGTGATCTTTGAGACAGTGTGACTGCACATGCGCTGAGCACAGATCTGACAGATAAATATCTTTGGAACATTGAGCAAGAACTGTGTAGGCCACGGGCGGAAGCAGAACAGGGTAACCATGACACTGTGTACTGGAATGTCTTTATGGATCTGGCAGTGGCGATATCTCTGTCAGTATGTGTGTGTGTGTGTGTGTGTGTGCGCGCGCTCGTGCGTGCGCGTGCTTCCCATGTGGCATGTGTTATGACACATTTTTTCTAAGTGATTGATAATGTGAGCTGCTCTGTGTACTTGAGTACTTTACTCTAAGCACATAAGTTTAAGGAGGGTGCTCCTTGAGTAAATATAATGTACATTGGATGGAGCTCCAACAGCTAGTTGCCATACCAGTGCCACTAAGTAGTTCATTGCACAATTACAGCAGGACTGGCCAGAATAGCCAGAATAGCCTTAAAAACTACCTGCCTGGCTCCTGAAGCTACCTGCCTGGCTTCCTCATGTAAACAGCCACTTCATTTAGACCAGTACTAGGCTGGCACATGGCTCTGCCTTGCTCAGGGACCCAGCCCAAACTCTATAGCAGGGGTGGGGAACATCCAACCGGTGAAATCATTTGGCAGGTAATGGGACAAGTGTATATGTTTCTCATATGTTTCTCCTAGGCTGCCTATGTCCATCTGCCTGCATTGATCATTTTGTATAGCCCTTGAATGATGTTATAAATCTCCAAATGGCCTTTAGCAGAAGGCCCTATAGGAGTATCTTCCCTCACCTGGTTTCAGAGACTAGTTCTGAGCACTTAAGCTTAAGAACCCTTTCTCTAATTATCAGCAGGAACCCATGCTGACCCTGGGCAGGAACACAGGACCCAAGTCCTCCTTCAGCACAGAATCTCTATTTTAATCTAGATAGGAATCTCTGATTGCACACTATAAAGAAACTCCTGTAGCACATAACAGGCATGCTCATCCTGACTACCTACATGAGCCTTCATCTCTCTGAGTCCCCAAACCCTTCAGGAATACCAAAAGCCCTTACTTTCATTGCTAACAATAACCCCTGACATTGCACAACAGTCTCGGAGCTCACATCTTACCCTGTAGCATCTGCAATAACCCAAGATTCAACTTACAACACAAACCTCAGTCTGGAAATTGTATTAAAAAAAATTCTTACCAGGCACTGGGGGCTTATGCCTGTAATCCTAGCTACTCAGGAGGCTGAGATCTGAGGATCATGGTTTGCAGCCTTCTGGGGCAGAAAGGTCCATGAGACTCTTCAATAAGTACTCAGAAAAAGCCAGAAGTAGCACTGTGGCTCAAGTGGTAGAGTGCTAGCCTTGAGCACAAAGAGGTTTAGGGACAGTGTCCAGGCCCTGAGTTTAATCTCTAGGAATGGCAAAACATAAAAAAGAGGCCTACCTGGACAACTGTACTAGGAACTCTGATGGGATTCTGTAGGATATAATCTTCCATAATCTTCCATTTTCGAGAATTTCTAGTCTGATCCTTTATAGCATCTCCTACTTTTGCTCTCTAGAAACATTCTTCTGGTCCTGAACAAGAAAGCCCTGATGGGATGCTGTGTAACAGTCCTTGCCTAGCTTTGTCCTGGAAAGCCTGCCTTCACCCTACACAGGAGCCACTGCTCCAACCAGTAGAAGAAACATGAACCTGAACCTCTGAAGGAACCACAGCCCGAATACTAAAATGGACTTCCCTCTGTGAATCTTAGCAAGGACCTATATTCTGAGCTGCTACAGGATGCCCTGCCTTATACTCAACAAGAACCTTCCATTTGCCTTAGAGTAATCCAAAGAATAAACCAGTATGAAAACATTCATATTATACCACAAGGTTGAGAAACCTTTTCTGTCAAGGGCTATATGGATATTTATTTATTTATTTAATCAGGAGGCTTGAAATTAGGGCCTAGAAGCTGTCCCTGAGATTTTTTGCTCAAGACTAGTGCTTTTCTACTTTATCCCCTTCTAGCTTTCTGGTCGTTAATTAGAGATAGAGACATAGACTTTCCTGCCTGGGCTGGTTTTGAACTGTGATACCCAGATCTCAGCCTCCTGAGTAGCTGGAATTTACAGGCATGAGACATCAGTGTCCAGCCATTTGGATAATTTTAACATAATTCTTGGGCCATACAAAATTATCGATACAGACAGATAGGCTGAGGGTAGCCAACAAGAAGCATGTCTGTCCCATAATGTACCAAATGACTTCAAAGGCCTTATATAAATGGTCTAGCAGGGGTGGGGAACCAAGAGGTTCTTGCTGAAAGCGAACTTGTTCTTTCTGTTAAAAATAAGCCATAGGGAGCAGGGCGCTGGTGGCTCATGCCTGTAATCCTAGCTACTCAGGAGGCTGAGATCTGAGGATCACGGTTCAAAGCCAGCCCGGGCAGGAAAGACCCTGAGACTCCTATCTCCAATAAACCACCAGAAAACCAGAAGTGGCGCTGTAGCTCAAGTGGTAGAGCGCTCGCCTTGAGCTGAAGAGCTGAGGGACAGCGCCCAGGCCCCGAGTTCAAGCCCCATGACCGACAAAAAAAAATAAGCCATAGGGGTTGAGAAAGTGGCTCAGTGGTAGAGTGCTTGCCTCGCATGCATGAGGCCTTAGGTTCGATTCTTCAGCACCACATAAACAGAAAAAGCCGGAGTGGGCGCTGTGGCTCAAGTGGTAGAGCGCTAGCCTTGAGCTGAAGAGCTGAGGGACAGTGCCCAGGCCAAGAGTTCAAGGCCCACGACTGACAAAAAAAAAAAAAAAAAAAAGATTAAAAAAAAAAAAAAGACCCAAAAAATAGTACTTGCCGGGTGCCAGTGGCTCATACCTGTAATCCTAGCTACTCAGGAGGCTGAGATCTGAGGATCATGGTTCAAAGCCAGCTTGGGCAGGAAAGTCTGTGAGACTCTTATCTCTAATAAACCACTCAGAAAACCAGTAGTGGTGCTGTGGCTCCAGTGGTAGAGCACTAACCTTGAACTGAAGAGCTGAGGGACAATGCCCAGACCCAAAGTTCAAGCCCCACGACCTACCAAAAAAAAAAAAGTCACACACAGTTGGGCGCTGGTGGCTCACCACTGTAATCCTAGCTACTCAGAAGGCTGAGATCTGAGGATTGAGGTTCAAAGCAAGCCAGGGCAGAGAAGACTGTGAAAATCATCTCCAATAAACTACTTGGAAAAAGCCAGAAGTGACACTGGCTCAAGTGGTACTAGCTTTGAGCACAAAGAAGGTCAAGGACAGTGTTTAGGCTCTGAGTTAAGCCTCAGGACCGGTGTGCGTGTGTGCGCATGAGTACATGCGCGCGCGCGCGTGCGCACACACACACACACACACACACATTACAGGTATGAGCCACTGTTACCCAGCTGTGTGTGTGTGTGTATGTGTGTGTGTGTGTGTGTGTGTGTTGTTGTCAGTTGTGAGGCTTGAAGTCAGAGTCTGTCCCTAAGATTTTTCACTCAAAGCTAGTGCTCTACTGCTTTGAGCCACCACCCCACTTCCAGTTTTCTAGTGGTTAATTAGAGATAAGTCTCATGGACTTTCCTGCCCCAGTTAGCTTCAAACTGGGATCCTCAGATCTCAGCCTCCTGAGTAGCTAGGATTTCAAGTGAGAGCCACCAAAGAGCAGTATGTATGTACGTATGTATTTGATGTGCCAGTCCTGAGGCTTGAATTCAGTGTCTAGGCACTGTCTCTGAACGCTTGTGCTCAAAGGCCAGTGTTCTATCACTTTAGCCAGGCACCATTTCTGACTTTTTTTTTCCAGTCCTGGTTCTTGAACTCAGCCTGAGCATTGTCCCTGGGCTCTTTTGCTCAAGGCTAGTGCTCTACCACTTGAACCACAGAGCCACTTTCAGGATTTTCTGTGATTAATTGGAAATAGTTTCATGGACTTTCCTGCCTGGGTTGGCTTCAAACTGTGATCCTCAGATCTCAGCCTCCTGAGTAGCTAGGATTACAGGTGTGAGTCAAAAGTGCCCAACCATTTCTGGCTTTTTGGTAGTCAATTGGAGATAAAGAGTCTCGTGGACTTTCCTGCCCAGGTTGACTTTGAACCACAATCCTCCAATTTCAGCTTCCTGAATACCTAGGATTACAGTGATGAGCCACCAACATCTGGCTCTGGCTCCAGCTTTCTTTTTTTCTTTCTTTCTTTATCTTTCTTTCTTTCTTTCTTTCTCTTTCTTTCTTTCTTCCTTCCTTCCTTCCTTCCTTCCTTCCTTCCTTTCTTCCTTTCTTCCTTCCTTCCTGTCTGTCTTCCTTTCTTCCTTCCTTCCTTCCTTCTTCTCTATCATCCTTCCTTCCTTTCTTTCTCTCCTTTTTTCTTAGCTTTGTATTTGTTGGGGATGAAATTCAGGGTTTTGCTTATGCTCAGTAAGCTTTCTGCACTACACTACATCCCTAGCCCATGTCCCAGCTACACAGGAGGCTGAGGCAGGATAAGAACCCTTGCCCTTGGCCAGGTGCTGGTGGCTCACGCCTGTAATCCTACATACTCAAGAGGCTGAGATTTGAGGAATTTGATTCAAAGCCA